GGAAGCCAGTGGAGGGATGGGCAGGGAGGGGCGGGGAATGGAAGCCAGTGGAGGAAGTGGCAGAGAGCTGGAGGATGGAAGCCAGTGGAGGGATTGGCAGTAAGGGGTGGGGAATGGAGGCCAGTGGAGGGATTGGCAGAGAGGGGAAGTGAATGGAAGCCATTAGAGGAATTGGCAGAGAGGGGAGGTGCATCCTGAGTGGTTGGTAAGGTGGATGAGTCTGGCAGCATCCTTCATAGACTAAAGGGGGGAGGAGCCTGTGTACACGTAGGCCAACCAGGAGGGAGTTGCAACAGTCAAGGTGTGAGAAACATATATAAATATGTTTTTTTATTTCCCTTTCAGGCAGATGTTGTGGTGGACAAAGAAAGGCAGAACTTCTATGAATCTTCATTGGAATATGTCTACCAGATTCAGGAGGTGCAGGAGAGCAAGAAGTTTAGCATTGTAGAGCCGGTAAGAGTCATTATGCTCGATATTTAGGAGTAAATAGAACTTTCCAGCATGCAGGATGATGTATCCTTCCATAAAGTGTCACTCCAGGCATAACTCAAAGTGTAATATGAGTCTACATTATTCAAATTAACCTTGTCCCTACTGTCACATCAAACTCAACTGGTTAGTCTTCTAGATTGCCTATAGTAGCTGCAATTTCTTTGGTCAGGGAACAACGCTAGAACATACAGTGTATGGTCAAAAGTATGTGAACCCCCTACAATGATGGAGTTCAGTTGTCTCCATTGAAGGGTCCTGTTCATACTACAACATACAAAGCCATTGTAGGCAATTGTTCTAACTGTTGGGTGAAGACCCCTTTCTGTTTCACCATGACTGTCCTCTGTGTACAAAGCCAGCTCCATAAAGACATGATTTGACCAGGTTGGTGTGAGGGCCCCTTACCTCAAGCCCACTGAACACCTTTGGGATGAATTGGAATGCGGCTTGTGAGCCAGGTCTTCTCATCCAACATCAGTAGTTGACCTCACAAATGGGCTCAAATTCCCACAGACACCTATCACATTCTTATGGGAAGTCTTCCCAGAAGAGTGGAAGCTGTTCTAACCACAAAGGTGGGGGTTAACTTCATATTACTAGCCATGTTTTTGTTATGGGATGTCCATCAAGCTCATATAGGTGTCATGGGACAAGGGGCAACTCCATATTAATGGCCATGGTTTTGGAATGGGATGTCCAACAAACTCATATAGGTGTGTAGCTAAAGGGAGGAGGGGTAACTCCATTGGTCATGGGGGGAAACGCCATACTAATGGCCATACTTTTGTAATGTCCACCAAGCTCATATAGATGTGATGGCCAAGGGACAAGGGGCAACCCCATATTAATGTCCATGGTTTTGGAATGGGATGTGCAACAAGCTCATATAGGTGTCTTTGGCCAAGGGACAACTCCATATTAATGGCCATGGACTGGGGGCAACTCCATATTAATGGCCATGGTTTTGGAATGGGATGCCCAACAAGCTCATATAGATGTGTAGCTAAAGTGAGAAGGGGTAACTCCATTGGTCATGGGGGGGGGGACTCCATATTAATGTCCATGGTATTTGAATGGGATGTCCAACAAGCTCATATAGATGTTCTAGCTAGAGGTCTACAAACCTTTGGCCATATTAGCAGACCTTGGTTAGAGATTGTAATTGGCTTTCTGTACAACAATGTTTTATTTCCAAAGTCCCAATAAATCTTCTATTTTGCTTTTAGGTTTTGGCCTTCTTGCATTGTCTCTTCACTTCCAACAGCCTCACATTTGAGTTAACACAGGACTTCCAACCCTACAAGCAGCAGCTGCAGCTGAGCCTCCAGAATGTATGTTTTCTATAGTATTCTATGAGGGCAGAAATATACTTAAAGTGACATTAAACCCTCAGATTTTTTTAACATAAACCAATACTGTAATGTGTCCCTTACTGTAATCCATGGTTGTTTCCCTTCTCTTTGCTGCTCTTCCTTTTAAATCCTCATGTCTTCTCATGCTGGGGAGAACTTCCCTTTGCAGCTGAGTGCCTCTTCCTGTAGAGCTGGCTCAGGTTGCAAACCTTCACACAGACACCATGTAGCCATTCCAGAGACAAGGCAGTCTGCTGCAAAACAGAAGTTCTCCCCAAGCATGAGAACAGATACAGATTTAAAAGGAAGAGCAGCAAAGAGAAGGGAAACTACCATGGATTACAGTAAGGCGCACATTACAGTATTGTTTTATGTTAAAAAATCTGAGGGTTTAATGTCACTTTAATGCTTGTAAAACATGATTCATCAGCATCAAACATGATTTATGGGTTCAATCTCTTTATGACTTTTGTCAAATGCCACAAAAGTATACACAATATATAATCATATGCACACAGGGAGGTCATATGTGATATCGCAATCATTACATTTCTGCTATGGACATATTTATTTGGCAATAGCTTTGTCATTAGTTAAGTTAACAATGTAATATAAGCATTGTTTTGTGGGGGGAAAATTGAGCTCCCTTTTGGCAAAAATGTTATTGTCGATGGAATCTATAAACAAAAATATGTAAAAAAGAAAAAAGTATTTTTTTCTGTTTTTATCACCAGTGTTACACTTTTGCTGTAAATTAAAAAAAAAATGATTTATAAAATATATTTTTTAAAATTAGATAATTTTTTTTTAATTAACATTAATTGAAAATACAAAAAAAAAACTAAATAAAAACCAATCGGAACAGCAAATGCAAATCCAGCACGTTATTATTCTGAGTTGCCCCACTCAAGCGGCGGCCATATTGAGTGGGGCACGTGAGATTAATAACGTGCTGGATTAGTGTGATCCTAGTTCATTTTATTACTTCATTGCTGTGCTGTATGTGTATAGTCCAATGTAGTTGGATCTGCATGTGCATTATAATTAATCGATTAAAAAAAAATGTGATTAATCGAACACGAAAATTTTAATCAGTACCAGCCCAACTTTTTTTTAAACACTTTTTTTTTTTTTTTACACTAACTTTATTGCTATCACATAGGGGGCCTAACAAACCCCCTATGTAATGACAAATAGGGTGTGATAGGTCCTCTTTATGGAGACATTAGGGGTCACTGTGTTTGCCTGATGAAGGGACCATGTTCGGTCCTGAAATTTTGCTTTTACACTGTGTCTGTATAACGTCTGAATAAAGGAGGTGTTCAATACATTAGACCTTGGAGTGCGGGTGACTTCTTTTGGACATTTCTGTGATAACGCAGCGCCATCCGCAGGTCATACCAGCACCCATCTAATGGGATTCCGGTCAGGAGTGCTGTGGATTACACAATACTGATGACCCCTAATGTCACCTAGGGACCCCAAAGAAGCTCAGGAAGCACAGATCTTCTCCTGGATCTAAGAGCCGGAGAATGTGCCCAGTGACACGGGAAGTGATGTAATACAAATCACTTCTGGGTCCAGTGATCAGAGGAGACATCAGCGGCTAGAAGCTTGCTGATCTCTCTCCGATTGATGTGCGGAGACCTGCCGTGTCGGTCCCAGGCCGGCGGTGGGGATGGGAAAGCACACTCCGCCGATCGGTACAAGCTGTCCGTCGGCTATATAGACATTCCAAATAAGACCGATCAATTTCAGTAGGGAAGCGAGAACAAGTCTTGACATAAAAAATACTCTCTAAATATCGCAAGGGATCAAATCCAGCAAAGAGGAATATCAAAAGATGGAGGATGGACTCCATCTTTTCTTTTTCTTTTCCCAAAAAAATATAAAAAAGACAAATGGAAAAAAATATTAATGGTAAAAGAATAGAAATCATTAAGAAAAGCATAGAAATAATTTTAAAAAAGCAGAAAAAATAATGGCTATGGGGAGAAGGAGAGGAAGGTGTTAAAGGTTAATACATTTATTTAAGGAAAAAATATTATTATTATTATTAATGTTATTATTATTTATTAATAATAATAGTTATTTTATTATTAGTATTAATAATAATATTATTTGTATAAAATGTACTTGTAAGGTTTCTTTAGGTGATGTCATTGTGTTTACTATCTCCTTCCTATGTTGATCACCTTTTGATCTGCTCCATTCTAAAATCAGCAGCTTACAATGGAAACCCCCCACTTTATAATACATTGGTGCCTGGGGTAGATTGAATTGTATATTTGAACATAGCTGGTCAGTGGTGTATGAGGGTCAAACAGTCCACAATCTTGAGGTACCCCAATCTAAAATTTAAAGGACGTCAATGCAAAAACACAAAAAAAGTGGGGTGTCCCCTCTTCAAAGCAGGACCCCCCTTTACATCAGAGCCCCCCTTTATACAGCTTTATACAGCTGCGGGGGCAGGCCTGGACGGAGGCGAATTTCTGTATTTTTCTGATTGGATGCCACCTTACCTGGATAAGCGTCATTCACTTCCGTGGCCCTGGTGGCAACATTTCGAGGCACCCCTGAGGAAGACGGAAGGCACCCCAGGGTGGGCTGAGAAAGGCAATGCTGAACTAGGGACTCCTTGAACTCTATATTGTACGTGGAGCTGGAAGGTTGACTCATTATGCTAGGCCAGCACTCTCAACACTCGTCTTTTTTTCCACAGACGCGGAACCACTTCACCAGTACCGGAGAAGAAATGGAAGATCTGAAGAAGAGGATGACTGATGCTCCTGTGGTTTGCAAGCTGAAAGGCCAGAGCACAATCGAAGGAATGCACAGCATGTATTTTCTGCTTTATACAGTTTAACATGACACTGTGACCCTGGTTATGGACACTCCAGTATTTACATATTCTTGCCATGCTTTATACAGAAGCCTTCACTTACCTATGTAGCTGCAGGACTGTGTGGAGCAATCCATCTTCCATGATCAAAAGAGAAGCGGGAAGTCATTTATTGAGTCTCATCACTCTGCTCTCCCCTCTGCCAGAGCTCCTGTTCTGTGTCTACATTAGAGATTAGAAGACTGGAATGCTGCTAATGATGGGAGGGGGAAACGTGGTGAGCTGAACTGCTGAGTTGTTGCTGAGAGGTGGAGGGAACATTGAGTTGCTGCTGAGAGCTGGAGGGAACATTGAGTTGCTGCTGAGAGGTGGAGGGTAGATTGAGCTGCTGATTTGATGCTGGGATCTGTAGGGTAGATTGAGCTGCTGAGTTGCTGCTGAGAGCTGGAGGGTACATTGAGCTGCTGAGTTGATGCTGGGAGCTGTAGGGTAGATTGAGCTGCTGAGTTGCTGCTGGGAGGTGGAGGGTAGATTGAGCTGCTGAGTTGCTGCTGAGAACTGGAGGGTACATTGAGCTGCTGATGTGCTGTTGAGAGCTGGAGCGTACATTGAGTTGCTGCTGAGAGCTGGAGGGAACATTGAGTTGCTGCTGAGAGGTGGAGGGTACATTTAGCTGCTGAGTTGTTGCTAAGAGCTGGAGGGAACATTGAGCTGCTGAGAGGTGGAGGGTACATTGAGCTGCTGATTTGCTGTAGAGAGCTGGAGGGAACATTGTGTTTCTGAGTTGCTGCTGGGAGAAAAGAGCAGAGGGAGCCGAGCTGCTCAAAGCAAAAGTGCTTCTGTTGCAAACTTTTAGGAGGAATTGCACCACAGTGCATGCAGCTACTGAGGTCCGTGATGGCCCGTTTTTCTAAAAGTTTATAGCTATTTGCATAGCCGGGCCATGAGAACAAAGCATGAAGGCTGCCATTGCTGGACACTCCTTCTGAAAACACTAGCTGCCTTGGTGTCATACTGAACCTCTTGTTTCAACGCTTTGAGTCACTGACTAGAATATAGGTGAACACGATGATATCCAAGCAACCACTCTATTGGAAGGGGCAGCACTTGTGCCCAATGAAAGCCCTATGAGACGATGGTCTTTATGGAAACATTTATGACTTCAGAGAAGCCAACACCTTTTATGGGTCTTCATTTTCTTCATCAGGGACCATGATGAAGGCGAAGCAGATCCTGAAACATGTTGGCTTCTTTGGAGATGTAAATACCATCATCCTATAGAGGTTTTGTTGGGCACGCTCGATGGATTGGGGCGCTCGTATATAATTTGATTCACCTAGATCTAGAACATGTGAGAAGTTGAGTAAAGTGAGCACAGCAGGTTTCTTTTACCTCCGTACACTACAGGCTGCTCCCCTTAAGTGCCTTTGCGTAGTCTTATAAAGTATGATATCTTAGCCGCCACCTTCAGTTGATGGTAATCTTATAAAGTCTTAGCCGCCACCTTCAGTTGATGGTTTTATGTCTATGGAATTTCAGAAAGAAGCATTGGCAGCTCCCCTATTTCATAAGCAGTGTATTTTAACATTCCCAAGCATGAAGCCCAGTCATGCCGCTCTTCAGCTGTCTGAAATGATATATCTCACTTTTCCTGAATTGATGTCTGCTGACATAATGTCTTTTTTTTCCCCCTCAATTTGCCTACTAAGGGAGGGATATTATGTCTCTTTGCACAGGTTCAAATTTTTGATGGTTTTACATTCCACCATGCATTCCTTCAGAGGTTCAAGCATTGTCTTCCATGATTGTTTATGCTATGATAAGCTCCATCACATTCACGTGCCAGTTTTTGATATACAGTATGGGGGCCACCTGACCATCACACCTCTAGCGTGTTGGACATCTCATTCCAACACCATGGCCTTTAATATGCCCCCTTTTCAGCTTTTGCCGCCTACACCCTGCTTGGAAAGCTTTCCATAAGTTTAAAGGATGCCTGTGGGAATTTGTGGCCATTTGTGAGGTCATGAACTGGTGTTGGATGAGAAGACCTGGCTCACAATTGGCTCTTCGATTCATCCCCAAGGTGTTCAGTAGGGTCGATGTCAGGGCTCTGTGCAGATCACTCAAGTACTTCCACACCAAACTGGTCACACCGTGTCTTTTATGGATCTGGCTGTGTACACAGGGGACAGTCATGGTGGAACAGAAAAGGATCTTCACCAAACTGTTACCACAAGGCTGGAAGAGCCTACAATGTGTTTGTATGATGGAGTATTAACAGGACCCTTCACTGGGTATGGAGCATGGACATTAAAAAGGAGTTGTCCCCCCTTTATGGCTATACCATTCTCCACTGTTCGGGGTAGGCTTTCCACAAGATTTTGGACGGTGTTTGTGAGAATGTGGGCCCATTTGTGAGGTCAGGTACTGATGTTGGATGAGAAGACCTGACTCACAATCACCATTCCAATTCATCTCAAAGGTGGTCAGTAGGGTTGAGGTCAGGGCTCTGTGTAGTACACTCGAGTTCCTCCACACCAAACTGATCAAACCATGTCTTTATGCAGCTGGCTTTGTACACCTGAACTCAATAATTTCTGTGGAACAACACAGCATTGCTGTGGAGGAACTTGAGTGGTCTTCACACACTGGTCACACCATGTCTTTATGGAGATGGCTTTGTACACAGGGGACAGTCATGGTGGAACAGAAAAGGGTCTTCTTCAAACGGCCACCACAAGGTTGGAAGGGCACAAGTGTCTACAATGTCTTTGTATGTTGTAGTATTACCAGAACCCTTCACTGGAAACACCTGAACTCAATTATTTGGAGGATCTCCACATCCTGGAAGGATCAGAATTTATTTGGAAGAGGGTCCATACACTTTGGTCACAGAGTTGGTGTGATGGTCAGGTGTCCAGACTTTTGGCCATGTAGTAAAGTCTGCATACATTGCTGTGAATTCCATTGCTAACCCATTCTGTCACTGACGCAGCATCAGAGGAGAATTGTTTTATTGATTTGTGAGTTGTCCCTGAAATCTTTACATGATCTGAATATCCGTTTTTATGGTTTCCAGGGGCCCTCGGCCTTACGTGGGTGAAGTATTACTGCAAGTACGAGAAGGAGGGGAAGGGATTAAGCTTAGTTCCTGTAGAGCAGAAGCCGGGCTCCCGGCAGGTAAGTTTAAGCACTTGTTGCTTTCTGTGAATTTTGTTGGATAAAATGTTATTCTGAAACATTAAATGTGTTTTGTTGAAGAATTCTCTTAAGAACGCCCCCCTCCTACTGCTGATACCTTCACTGTCCTCTGTTTGTATGTTAGAACCCCTTAGAAATACCTGATACTTCTTGGCATGGGAAAACATGTGATCTTCTCCCCTTCCTCCCAAGATGCAATGCTTGGGTCTGATCAACCAATTGCAGTCCTGAACACTGTCAAGTGGTGGACGGGGAAAAGGTCATTAATCCTGTATAAGCTCAGACACGGAGCTTACACAGGGTTCGGACTCTAGCTTTCGATGGAGGAATGGACTGGCAAGAGATGGAAGGCAGGAATTCTCCATATACTCAGGGCTGTTGACAGGGGCATCCCTAGACATTTCTCTGCCTGAGGCAGGAGGGGAGGTTGCTCGTGTTGCACACTCTGGGGGGTGGATTGGTGTGGCATTATGGATGGGTCTTAGCTGCTCTTGGTGCCCATCTGGGGGGCAAGGGGGGGGGGTATTGGCCGATTGGGTGGCGGCTAGTGGTGCACATTCCGGGGATGGGGCCAGACCATGGTGCACGACATCCTGCCCAGGGCCCGGGCCCTCTTGCTTTCAAGCCGTAGACACAGACCCCAGCCCTACAAAGAGTAACACAAGGCATCAGCTGCCTGATCTCAGCCTCTGTCCAGCAATCAATTAGACACTGGCAGAGAGACGCGGTTCCCCGCCATCTTGTGCCAGGGCATTCCTCCACACAGTTCAGTCATCAAGGCTACTGCAGTCTCCCTTATAGGGGCTCCGGCAGAGAGGCCGTAGAAGGCCCCATGATTTCTGATGACAGCCCTTCATATACTTATCCAGGTATCTATACACTTTTGGCCATATAGTGTAGGTGTGTTGGTCTGGTGTCCACACACTGTTGGGCCATATAGTGTATATTGGATTTTTTGGCGTACACAATCCCGTGATGTAAGCTCGTGTCATTGTGTCTCTCTCCAGTGACACTCTAATCCTGTTTGTCTGCAAGGAAAGCCTGTGTGATAATCTTCCCATGGCCATCTGTTACTACGCGGCGTCTTCACCATAGCGAGTCTTCTCTCTAGTACTGCTCACTTACTGCCCTGTGTCTTCCCAACGTCTGTACCTCCCCTTGACTCCAGATCCCCTCATCCTTTCACTTTGCATTGCTTTCTCCTTGCTGTCCCCTCATCCCCTTGTCCTTGCTGCTGTCTCACCCTTTTCCAGTTACCCTTTGCTGCCAACCCCCTCAGTTTGCTGTAAGTATCCTCATCCATCTTTCCCTGTAGGTAAGCCAGGAGCTGACCCTCAAGTCTTGTATAAGAAGGAAGACGGATTCCATCGATAAGAGGTTTTGTTTCGATGTAGAGACCAATGAGAGGTGAGTGGTGCTGACATACAAAGGAAAGTTGCACTAGAGAAGATATGGAGGCTGCCAATGATTGCTTTTAGAAATCCTATTCACTTGGCTGTTACGATAATTCAGAAAGTTAAAGTCAATCTCCATCGATCCTGCCAGGGTGACCACACTCGCTCATTGTACTATGGAGGGGCAGCATTGTCACCCTAGGACAGAAATACAGAACACCCCCTATTCCTCTCTTCTTCTTTGTAACATAGTGAGGAGGTGTTCTGTAGTTCACAGAGGAGAACTAGTCAGGCCCGATAGCACCGCTCAATACAACACTAAAGAGTTTGCAGTACGTTACAAACTCTCTGGATTTCTGGCAGGATCAACAGGTCTATTTTTGCCCTCATTGAACAGATATAACTTCCAATGGTATATTTAACAGACCGAGCAAAAAAATATTATTGTCAGGTTCATATGCAGTTTACAAAATTTGCTGGCAAATGGGTTGAAAAAAAAGAAGAAGCTGGAGTTCTAACTTTTTAGTATTTTTAGTTCCTGACCCAGAGCAGGAATCCAGCATTTTCTGTGAGAGACGGTTTTTGAGTATAACGCAGAATAGACCAGATGATATAGCATTATGCAGGCGGTCAATTGTGCTAACAGTGGGAGTGGCTGAAGATGCATGGTTAAATAAACCCTGAGCCTACTTTATGGGTCAAGCATGTGTAATGCACTGACTGCAGGGATCAGGAGTGTATAACGCAAGGAATACAGGGGTCAGGAGTGTGTAACAAGCAGACTTCAGGGATCAAAGGTGCGTAACGCATGGAGTGCAGGGGTCAGTTGTAAGTTATGCAGATTTAATTAGTAAGTAACACAGGGTTCGGGGATCAGTAGCAAGTAACGCAGGGTTCAGGGGTCCATAGTAAGTAACGCAGGGGTCCTTTGTAAGTAGCGCAGGGGTCAGTACTATATAACGCAGTGTTCTTAGGTCAGTAGTATATAACGCAGGGTTCGGGGGTCAATAGTATATAATGCATGGTTCAGAGGTTGTTAGTATATAACACAGGGTTCAGGGCTCAGTAGTAAGTTATGTAGAGTTCAGGGGTCAGTAGTAAGTAACGCAGGCTTCAGGGGTCAGTAGTAAGTGACACAGGCTTAAGGGGTCAGTAGTAAGTTATGTCGAGTTCAGGGGTCAGTAGTAAGTACTGGATTCTTTAGCTAACTTGACTTCCTGTGTGGCCATTTAGGAGAAAGAGGGACGGAGCGCTGTGACCCTATTACAGGAAGCGCCTGTACAATAACCTTCATGGCAGGATCACCAGGTTTTAATTTAATGAAAGCTACTGAAGCCGATAAGCTTTGATTGCTACCCCTACTGTATTCCATGCTCCTCCTCCTTTTTTTTTTTTTTTTAAACCTGTAATAAAACTTTGGATTGAAAAAGCCTTTTGAAAGAGTAATAATGCATTAAAATGGCAGTAAAGTCACAAAAATAAGAAATCACTGGGAGGTCGGGACTTGGCTTGTTCTGCCAAAAAATGTGTTCCTTCACCTCAAAGCAATTTTGAAAATTGCATCATGCAGTGCACACGCCCAGCACCACTCGTTGGCCTGATGCCCATGTTCTCATGTGCAGGAGTTACATCATCAGTGGTCACCCAGTGGCCAAAGATGATTCCTGGGAACCCAGAAGTGGTGGCTTTAAAGCTTCTATTAGAGTTAGTGGTTGGGTAGAAGATAAAATGTAAAATTAACCTAACCTAGATACACTATATTGCCAAAAGTATTGGGACGCCTTTACACGCACATGAACTTTAATGGCATCCCAGTCTTAGTCCGTAGGGTTCAGTATTGGGTTGGCTCCGCCCTTTGCCGCTATAACAGCTTCAACTCTTCTGGGAAGGCCTCCACAAGGTTTAGGAGTGTGTCTATGGGAATGTTGGACCATTTGTGAGGTCAGGTACTGATGTTGGAGGAGAAGGCCGGGCTCGCAGACTCCGCTCTAAATTACACTTGGCACAATGCAGTCAGGCAAATACCGTTCTCCTGGCAATCGCCAAACCCAGACACGTCCATCGGATTGCCAGACAGAGAAGCGTGATTGGTCACTCCAGAGAACACGTCTCCACTTTTCTAGAGTCCAGTGGCGGCGTGCTTTACACCACGGCATCCCACGCTTTGCATTGCACTTGGTGATGTAAGGCTTGGATGCAGCTGCTCGGCCATGGAAACCCATTCCATGAAGCTCTCTACGCACTGTTGTTGTGCCAATCTGAAGGCCACACCAAGTTTGGAGGTCTGTAGCTATTGACTCTGCAGACAGTTGGAGACTTCTGCGCACTGTACGCTTCAGCATACGCTGATCCCGCTCTGTCATTTTACGTGGCCTACCACTTCGTGGCTGAGTTGCTGTTGTTCCCAGTTGCTTCCACTTTGTTATAATACCACTAACAGGTGACCTCGGAATATTTAGTAGCCAGGAAATGTCACTTTTTCAATATAGTGTATATAACGGTGTATTTATATTTGCTGTGTGGTCGAGTATGAAGGATTGCCCTCTGCTCAGCTAATTAAGGTCAACGATAACCTCACCTCAGTGTGAACTGGAATAACTGTGTCCATCATCCTGTGTTTCAGACAAGGCACCATCACCTTTCAGGCCTTTTCAGAGACCAATCGTCGCCTGTGGATTGAAGCCATGGACGGGAAAGAGCCGGTGAGTTTAGTTTGCTGCGGTTGGGGTGACCTCTACTGATGAATTCTGATTCTGCAGCCTCCGAACCTTCATCGGAGAAATGAAGGCGTCTTTTAACTGTGCAAACAGCTCCGTGCTACTGTGTAACATACGAATGTCCTTAAGCAAAATAATCAGAGTAATAAGGCCGAGCACGCAACGTAATACAAATAAGACAAAGTTTGTTAAAGTGAGAAAATGTTCCATCTCAGTATAATCCATCTTCAATGTAGGAATCCACCCATGTGGATCACTCATTAAACAAAGCCACCTGAGGCTCAGCAAGACCTCTCACCACCAAACCGAAAAATCTTCTCATATATATATACACTGAGTGACCGGATTATTATGACCACCTGACATTTGTAGGCAAATTAGCTATAATTTTGCGCTGAAGTTGCTCGAGGGCCAGACCATTATAAATAGGGAAGCAGGTTGTTTACCACGACAGTAGAAGTGATTTGTTTCTGAAGATTCGGGGGAACAACGCGATGTAACAGCCTTTGAACACGGGATGATTGTTGGCGCTCGGAGCCATGGAGCGAGTATCAGCAAAACAGCAGAATTCGTTAAATGTTCAAAAGCAGCTGTTGTTAAAGTGTTTAAAGACCGGACTGTCAGCCGAAAATCTGGGTCTGAACGTGCGAATTGTGGACGTCAGCGACTAGTCAATGTTAGGGCAGAACGGAGAGTGGCAAGACTGGTACAAGACAACAGAAGGGCAACAGTGCCGTGTCAGATTCCTCGCATCACCTTTCAACATCTCCGCCTCGTGGAGTCACGAGGCGGCCCAACGAAGTACTGATGGGGTGGTCATAATAATTTGGCCACTCAGTGTATATGCAATATATTTGTAATTAAAAAGAGTGTTTCCAGCATAAGAGAAACCTCACTTTCTGCTCCTGAGCACTATTCCGATCTCTACTGGTGATAGGTCTTGCTAAGCCACAAGGGAAATATCTGGTCATGCTATGGAGGGGAGCAAGTCTAAGACCACAGAAGGGAAGCCATAGGCGTGTTTTAAGTTACCCTTTAATGGGTCAGGTACTGATGTTGGATGACGAGACCTGGCTCACAATCGGTGTTCCATTTCTTTCCAAAGGTGGTCAGTAGGGTTGAATTCGGGGCAGTTGGGTTACAGGGTTCCAGAGGATGGGAGAGACTCTGGAGAAGCTCCATGGGAGGAGGTGACCAGTTAGAGTAGGAGGTCTTAATAGGACAGTTTGGGTGATATTTTGAGATGAGGTTAGTGATGTAACTGGGGGCAGTGTTATGGATGGCTTTGTACAGTATATTGTTGTAAGTATTCATTGGGTCAGTGGACACCAGTGGAGGGATCGGCAGGGAGGGGCAGGGGACTCTGAACGATTGGCTAGGTGGATGAGTTGACAACAGCATTCATGATTGACTGAAAGGGGGGGGGGTGTTAGCCTGTGTGGAGGTATACTGTGAGCAGCAGCAGCAGCAGCAGCAGCAGCAGCAGCAGCAGCAGCAGCAGCAGCAGCAGCAGCCCCAGCAGCAGCAGCCCCAGCAGCAGCAGCAGCAGCAGCAGCAGCCCCAGCAGCAGCCCCTACAAAACTAGAGTTTGGATCCCAAGAAAAATCCTAATTAGCATCGAAATTAATGATATACATGATTCCTTTTAGCTTAGTAGTTTACCATGTAATTGGTTGCACTGATGCAACAAGTTGTACTGGGTTACTGATTGGCCACACCTGTCTTTTCCCACAGATCTATCGCAACCCAATTACGAAACGCGACGAAAGTGAGTACAATGTTTTTTATTTCCATCAGCATGAATAAAACTTCACCCCGAAAAATACAGAAGGTCCGCCCAGACCCTCCTGACTCTGATGCGTTCACCCAAGCAGAGCTAAGTCATAGAGGCGACCTCACCTGTATGACTAAGCCCCGTTTGGGTGAAATGGGTCAGAGCGAGGAGGTACTTGGTGGACCTTCTGTTTTCTTTGTTCAGAATAATAAAGTTTTATTCATCGAAGTGTGGCCGGTTTCTTTGCCTTTCCTTTTGAGTTGCTTTGAGCGACAAAACAGATGAGCTCATTCTGTATGTTATTTACTACAAATTGAAGTACATGATCAGTGTGTCCGTATCTCACCAACCTTATTGCCCATTTCTAGTGGAACTGAACGATGTTGGGTTCCGTTTTGTCCGAAAGTGCATCAATGCCGTGGAAGCTACAGGTAGGGAGAGTTTGGTTTTTTTATATTAAATTCTGTTCTGACAAAATTAAGACATACATTGTATATGACTTGGGTTTCCTCTATTAGTATGCATGACTGAGAAGCCGGCCCCTGGAGATGCTCGCATGTACATTTCTGGACACCAGGCCATCACACCTATATGATCTTTTTGGGCATCTAATTCTAAAAACATGGCCATTTATTTGGAGTTGGTCCTCCTTTTGCGGTTATACCAGTCTCCACTCTTCTGGGAAGGCTTTTAAGAAGACTTTGAAGTGTGTCTGAGGGTATTTGTGCCCATTTGTGAGGTTAGGTACTGCTGTTGGAAGACCTGGCTTACACTCACCATCCCAAGTAGTGTTGAGGTCAGGGCTCGGTGCAGGACACCCGAGTTACTCCACACCAAGCTGGTCACACCATGTCTTTATGGAGCTGACTTTGTACACAGGGGACAGTCATGGTGGAACAGAAAAGGGTCTTCACCAAACTGTGACCACAAGGCTGGAAGAACACAAGTGTCTACTACAGGCCTTCTTAAACTTTTTCGACTCGTGACCCCTTTTCGGCCGAGGAAATCTTTACGTGACCCCAGCATCAGACGGTGTCTTTCCCCTCTTTCCCCTCCCAGCGTCAGTCGGTGTCTCTCTCCTACTCCCTCCCCCCTAATGT